CACCAGGCAGGTGGCAGCTTGTCATCAATGGCCGGCAGCGTGGTATGCAGGTGCATGCATTGCTGCGTGCCAGCGCTTTGCCAAGACACGCCCCTGAAGCATGCCAAGATGGGCAGAACGGCCAGTCCCGCTCCAAGCTTACTCTGCTTGTGTACCTGAGCCATTGGGAGCCCCTGGTGCGACATAACCGGCGTGAATTCCATGATGCCGCATTGCCGACAGCCGCACAGCAGGGTTGTTGAGCACGGGGCGCCACTTCGGCAAGACCGAGTGACTGGGCAGCATAACCGCTGCTGCATATCCGACACCTGCACCGCTTCCACCTGAAGCACCTTGGGCGCGGCTGCTGCCCCATCCCCTCAGTTCATCAGTGTCAACAGGGATCCCATGCCATCAGGCTTTGCAGTACAAGTAAAACCCTGTATAACTACACAAAATTCAGGGTGTTGTAGAGAAGGTGCATGATGAGGACCCTGTTGGCTGAGGGGTGCAAGCCCATCCAGCACACAATGGCTGCTTCCCATCGGGCAAGGATCTGCATCCAGCGCTCCCGGAGCAGCCCCGCCCAGAGCAAGAAACATCCGTGACGGCCCTGGAGGTCCAACAATGATACACACGCGATCAGAGACGATGCTTTAATCTTTTTGGTGGTTCTTACAGGATGTACGGGGCTCAGTGTAGATCTCGTCACCTGCCCGTTCTGACCACAGCTGTTGATTTGTAAGCATCGGTGGTTATATGAGCACGTATTTTACATGGCAGCGTGACCTGTAAGCCGCTGCTTGGCAACTGTGCTTATTCGCGCCACACCTACCGTGTCTCTCCACGGCGCACTGCGTTCATTTAGTCTTCAATGTGACGAACATCCATTTATTTCTGCTGTGCTCGTCCACCAGGTACCCTGCGGGGGACCCGTGAAGCGACACTAGCGTCGTGCGCGGGCTTGCGCACGCGCACGACGGGGCAATGGATGGCACGGCGGGGCGCGGCGGCCGCCGCGGGCCCCTTGGTGGCGGCCTGCGTGCGAACTACATCGATCCTGGACAAGCAGCGGCGGGCGACGCGGGCCTGGCGCATCACCTGCCGCAAGCGATAGGCGCCCTGATGCACCTGCACAGCAGCATGGCTGCCCCCGCGGTCACGCAGGCCCCGCACCACACAGCCACAGATTACGTGCACACATGCGCAGCGGCTCAACCGCCGCAGCTGCAGGCTGCCAGCAACACGGCGAGCGCCCCCCGCGGCGCCGCTTCGCCTCGCCTCAGCCCTGCGAATGGCGGCGACGGCGGCGGCGGCCACCGGCCCGCGCGCAGCGGACTGCGCCCGGCGGCGTCCGGGTGCACGTCGCAGCTGGATGGCGTCCCCGATGAGATAATGCAGCAGTATCAGCTGCGATTCCAGCAGGAAATGGAGGGCCAGTTGCGCAGGGAGCAGGAGGCGCAGCGCGGCGGCCGGGGGGACGCGGGCGAGCTGTACGGCAGGGGCCCCGGCGACAGGAACGGGCGCCTGGCGCCCGGCGACGAGGCACGTCACGACGCGTCCCCAGGCTATAACGGTGAGACCACGTGTGGCATGTGGGCGCGTGCCGGCGTTTCTGATACGCGTGCGCGTGGCCTTGCTGGCAGCGGCGGCCCGAGGTCGCTCGGAGGAAGCCTTGCGCCTGCAGCGGCTTCATGCACCATGATCGCTGTGCTGCCGCCTTTCCCAAAACCATAGATGCTGCCGCACGGTACCCCCCCTCTCTCTTTTACACAGGCACGCGCGCACGCGCGCGCACACACACACACGCACACACACACACACACACACACGCACACACACACACACACACACACATTGTACGCACGCGCATGTGCGCCCTTGCAGACCTGCATCAGCTGCCTCATGGCCACCGCCACTGGTTTGAGGAGGACAATAGGGAGCAGCCTCGAGGCGAAGCCCTTGAGGGTCTCATGCCGCCCCCCTCAATGCAGCCGCGTCACCAGCAGCAGCAGCAACGGCAGCAGCAGCAGCAGCAGCGGGAGCAGCAGCAGCAGCAGCAGCCCGGCTCGACCGGCCCCGCGGAATTTTCGTTGCCGCCGCTGACGGTCGCGCCGTTCCGTCCGGGGTCGGGCGGCGCTGCGCATCTGGCGGGCGCCGCGGCGCGCGACCACGTGGCGGCGATGTCCGGCGCAGGCGGCGAGGAGGTGCAGGCTACGGTGGGCGCGATTGTGGAGCAGCACCGACGCGGCGAGATCTCGGATGTGGGTGGCGCGTGGGGGGGCATGGTGTGAACGGCTGTGGCGACAGCGAGAGGGAGCATTGCAGCGGGGTGGGGGCAGCTGCTGCTTTGGAAGCTGGTCGTGGGGGCGCAATGGCCGAGCAGCTGCCCGGGCGGCTGGGTCGGCTGGGTCACGCAAGTGCGCGCCAGCGGGTGGTGGCAACCCTACCCCATGCTGCGGACGTCAGAGCCCCTTGGGAGCGCGACCTGCCAGCCTTTCCCCCCCCCCCCTGCCATCCACAATGGCACCCTCGCCCCGCGCGCATGCGCGTGCCCGCAGGAGGCGATGCATGCTGCGCTGCTGCATGTGTACCGCGCCGCCCTCGACGCGGCGATGCGAGGCAGCGCCGCGGCGCAGGCCGAGCTCGAACGGCTCCGCGCGGCGCCGCCCGGCCCCGCCCCCGAGGGCGCCGCCG